GGTTTTTTTAAACCCCCCGGGGCGTTCGGGGGGTTGGAAACCTTTTTTTTGGGTTTCCCCCCTTTTTTTTTTTCCCCTTCGGATTATTCCCCGGTTCCTTGGGGAGCCGGGGGGTTTTTTTTTTTTTTTGCCCCCCCCCCCCCCCCTTTTTTGGGCCGGGAAAAACCCGGGAATTTCTTTTTTTTTGGGTTTTGGGGGGGCAAAGGTTTCAAAGACCCCCCCCGGGTTTTCCGGGATCCCCCCCCCCCCCCCCCCCGAGCCTGGTCCGGTGAGAACCCTGCGTGCTCCGTCCCGGCTTTGTAGGGATGCGAGGTCAATGGTCAAACGACTACGGCATGAACAACTACAAGTACACCCCCCCCCCCTCCCCGCCCCGCCCGTCATACTGGGCCGGCGAAAACCCGGCATATCGCTCTATGTTGGCATTGTAAGGATGCGAGGTGAATGGTGCAACGACTACGGCACGCGTTACATGAGTATCCCCCCCCGCCCCTATTCTGGGCCGGCGAAAACCCGGCATATCGCTCTTTTCATTGTAATGATGCGGGGTCAATGGTCTCAAGACTACATACGGCATGTGTTTACATGAGCACACCCTTGCCGTGATTTTTTCTGCAGGAACGGGGGGTTCCCTCTTCTCACGCGAGACCGGTCCGGACACTTCTGCGTATTCCAGGGAAGGGCGCCATGCTCTTCCACGGAAATGAAACTCTTCTCGCCCCTGAAGGGTGGAAATACCTTCCAAGAGGGTGAGCTACTCACTCCCTGGCCGCACCAGTGGGGTGCATGGTGTTGATGTTGATTCAGAATTGTTCGAGTTTTATCCGAGTGGTCGCAGTCGATGTTGCAAATCGTTGGAGTTGCATAGTCTCGACATGGAGCGGTCGTATATAGTCGATGTTGGAAATAATTGGAATTGTATTGTCTCGACATCGAGTGGTCGTAGTCGATGTTGGGAAATCAATGGGGTTGTATTGTCTAGTCTCAGACATCGGTGTAGGACGTTAGCGCCACCACTCGAGAGCCTGGCAGTTGCCAAATCCAACCCTCGATTTCGTACACCGTGGCAAAACCGGCACGCACAAGTCTTGCCCGGGTGAGAACCGATGTTGTTTCTGTTGGCAACATTGTTGGTGTTTTCTTCACAATGAATCTCTTCGCTCATCGGCCTTCTTAGCGTCGGACCGGTCCGAACTGATGCGGGCGGCTTCCGAGGTCATGTAAGCCATCTATCTGCCCTAAAAAAATGGTACAATGCACGCACGCACCGCGCGACATGTACACGAGAGGAGAAAATGGAAGGGTCCACGAAAACCGTTTTTCGTGAACCTTTGTTGTCGGTATAGACACAACACTCTCCACTACCGTAATTTTCTGCAGCAATCTGTAGAAAGTGATATTCAATTCAATCGGGTGGCGATCGTGATGTGCGTACCACCTTCCCAATATACACGGCGGACGTTGCGAGTCCCTCACCCGTTTCAGGGGGACCGAAATCCGTGTGGCTAAGGCACGTATTCGCGACCCAGCTTCCGGCACCTATCGCCGGCCAATGATGTCATCAGCGGGGTATGTAGCCGCCAGGGGTGCGATGTTCCCGTCCTTGTCACAAGGAAGGCATTTCTGATGACAACCGCCGCTGGTGAAGTGAGGCGCCAGCGTTAGTGTTGCTCGGCCATTGTTCAGGGTTCGAATTCCCTGGAACACGTAGAAGCGCGATTGGCCGGAGTTCGTCTCTTTGCACTCTTCGCACCATCGATGGAACGTACCTGCGGCCGTCAGACATGACACGTCTTGCCACCTCGGCCATTTAGGTTTGGAGTTCCCTGGAACACGTGGAAGCGCGATTGGCCGGGGCTCGCCTCTTCGCTCTCTTCGCACCATCGATGGAACGTTACCATGCGGCCCTCAGAGATGACGCGCCAAATGGCGGCACTGGCAAGACGTGTCATGTCTGACGGCCGCAGGTACGTTCCATCGATGGTGCGAAGAGTGCAAAGAGGCGAACTCCGGCCAATCGCGCTTCTACGTGTTCCAGGGAATTCGAACCCTGAACAATGGCCGAGCAACGCTAGCGCTGGCGCCTCACTTCACCAGCGGTGGTTGTCGTCACATATGCCTGCCTTGTGACAAGGACGGGAACATGGCACCCCTGGCGGCCACATTCCCCGCTGATGACATCATTCGGAGCTTCTCTGTGATGTCGAAAGTGGAATTTCCACATTGCATTCGAGATTATCTGGTCCACAGAAAAGTCTTGCTTGCGTGTTCATACCGGGACATCAAGAGGAACGAGGACCGGGGTCTTTAGTCGGGATGGCGTTCTTGTGTACGTGGCCTGTCTTTCATTATACATACCTCAGCGAGGAGGTACCTGTACACATCTAGAGAAGGTGTTTCGGAGTATTGTTGTTGAGCTCGCGCGGCACGTTCCTGCGGCTATTCCTTGTACTCTGTGCGGATGTCGCCTGTGATCACGGGCATGATTATTGCCGCTGCCTGGGTAGCGACAATATTCAATTTGGAGCTTTTAGGGCACCTTGGCTTTCGGGTTCACTGTGCTGTCCACGCAGATTCCGGTGTTGAATAGACAAGGGGGTGCTTCCCCCAATTGGGAAAATAATCGTGGGTGTTCACGCAGTCATGGGGGAATGAAAGAGATTTTTGCTGACTTGCAAAGCACTGGAGAGGGATGTCAGTGGCGTGGCGTCACGATGTACACTGTCTGTCTGTGCTGGGCGCTTTTGACAGCCTCTACGATATACCTAAGAGGAAAGACACAGCAGCAGCAGCATCAGCAGCAGTGAGTGGTAGTTCAATAGATGACGGTGCAACAGTTTTTTGTGTATACTCATCAACCAGCACGAGGAGGAGATATAAAAGTCGACCAATCCGCCATCAGCGGACACAGTAGCGTGTTGTTGTTGGAGATTACAGAACAAATGAATCTCGATGCCATTGGAGGAATCAATAATATTGGTGACAAGAGAGGTAGGTGTGGCCACCTTCTGTCCTCTGTCGTCACCCATCATCGATTGGCAAACGGGGTGAGGGAATAATGACTGAGGCAGTGGCGCAATCAATCATCAATGAAAAATCTCCACCGCGGTCAAATCCAAAGCTTTGAATTTCAGCGAAATGTGACTTCGCCACCGTGGATAACGTCATCGGTCGGCCTCAAATTTTGACCAATCGGAGCACTGCGGGCACCATGCATCTCCTTCTCTACGTTTGTTGTTTCCTGCCGTTTTTGTGAACGTTTGGTCGTTCCATCATAGACATGCACGTGCTCGCACAAGCTTTGGACCGGCTGAGGAAGTCGAAGGGCGGGCTGCCCGGGGGCGAGTTCGAGGAGGTCGTCTCCGCCGCCCGCGTGGCGCGTGAATGCGTCGTGGTGAGCGAGCAGACCAGGGTTGCCTCGTACGCTTGACGCGGGGTCAATGAAAATGCTTTTTGTGGAAATACGAACAACGTCTTCATCTTGGCGTTTTGGACTGGCCTTGTAGGCTTGACGCGAGTTCAACAAATAATAATGCTACCTCCGGTGGGCCTGTTGTTGTGTTTTTACCCTCCCCATGTGTGTGTGAAAGTAATAAGACTGTATTTGGAAAGAACCTAGAAGTTGGTGCACCTGCATATTTGATAGGCGGTGAAAACGACTTGAGAGGTTCAACTGTAGATGCAGAGCGCATTCAACACGAGGGGGAGACCTTAACTTGGAACAGACTGTTTTCTTTTCCGGTTCCGTGCAAGATCGCTTTTCGGGACCCCTTTTGATGGTAATGCGCCTGTCGACTTCGCCGTCACGGGCGGTAACAAGATCCTCGTGGTACTCGCCGTCTCCGAGATCTACCTTGTCTCCGGATTTAGCCATGTCGGAGTTTGGTTCAAGCCATTATTATTAGTTCAGGCGGGATCAAGATCCCTTGATGACGTGGGGCGCGAACTTCCTTTTCCGTCTCGCGCCATCCGTCAGGTGTGCATGGACTCTTCCTACTCCATGGAGGGACGACCGGGGTTCGAAGGAGAAGACGCCAAACAGGCCGAGGCGGAAAAGAACAAGCAGGAGTCTCAGCGCCAAAAGGTTGGAAAATTTTGCACATAAAAGGAAATCAAGTATGTCTGTATTATTTAGTTATTTTCGTGTGGGCGTTAGGAGGAAAAGTCAAAACGTGGAGGCAGTAGTTACACTGGTTCGTTGAGGGTGAAATGCAGCATCAGAGCAGGTCGCCAGCTTAGCGCGGTCAATGTTGCTTGGTTCAGACCTGCTCCCAGCTCCTAGACACCCGTTTGTAAACCTTGCTGCTTCTTCCACTGTGTCTGTGTGTTGTGACGGGACCGGTTTATTTTGTTGCTTCTCGGTTGTAACCGCTTTTGTTTGAATGCCAAGGTGTGGTGGCGCAGGAGCCGAGATGGTGCGGTAGGCGGACTCGTGTGGGTAGACGTTGAAATGCAACTACGGTTTTCGTTTTTGCGCCTTTGTGCGCCCGATAAAGTGTTTCGTTTCGCATTTTTGCCGGTTCGTCCTGTTGTCTTCCCATTTTGTTTGCTGATAAGAACGAGTGACCTTTGTAGCTCGCGCCCCCCTCGTTTTTTTTGTCCTGGTTCTTCCATCGTCTCTGTACGTTCCGAACACGACAAGGAGAGACTCCAACCAAGCCCGCCCCGCGCCTTTGAGTCCCAACAACTCGCTGTCTTGTTTGTCTTCCACTCAACCCAGTTTATCGACTGCCGCCACCGACGTTTTTCTTGTTTTGTGCTGGCCCATGCGACGGTCGTTTCGTCTGCCGCTCAACCCAGTTTTTCATCGCTAACCCATTCGCATATTTGTACCTAGCCCCAAGTGGGGGCCGTAAACGCTTTGCTTTGATGTATCTAGCGTTTTTCGACACCTGCACGGTAGTACACGCGCACGTTGGCCGTCATGTTCCGATGGCAATCTTGCCGGACCTCTTCCCACCGCATTCCGCGTAACCCGGTGGTATGTATACCTTCGCCCGTGTTATTCCTATCCGACGACCTCCCCCCCCCCCCGCCCATCAGCTGCGGTTCGATTGGTCGGAGCCGCTAGGGGCCGGTGGAGGCAGCGGTGATATGGAAGTGGTGGACTTGACCACCGGTGACGGCATGGATGCTGTCAGCGTCGATGGAGATGGGCAAGAGAGTACTGATGGTGATGACCAGGGCGAGGGTTCGGATGGTGATGGCAGCGGTGGAGACGGTTCTGAAAATGACTGCGACAGCGATGAGGATGGGGAAGAGAGTTGTGACGGCGAAGATGGCAACCCATCCGGGGCATCTACTGCTGCTGCTGCTGCTGCTGCTACCCCCGGGAGAAACGGTCAACAGGTGACCGCTGATGCACGTTGCCGTGCACACGTCTTGGTCGTGCTGTGTGTGTTCGTCGCGCAGATTCTGGCGCTAGTCCTACACGGTGTGTTCGTTAGACGCATCAGCCGGGGTCTCAACAACTTGTATGATATTATCCAAGGTCAGCTTGCACTCACGGGTGTTACTTTCTTTTCCTTCAACCTGAAAGAGGAATTCCAGGATGAAGGTGAAGGTGTTTTTTTCCCAAGAGACGAAAGGTTGGGACGAGCGAGTTCGTGTGTACAGAGGGAAGAAGGTGTTGCCTTCTTCTCGCAATATAAATCGAAGGCAAAGGAGGGGTGGTAAGGGGCCTCAGGGAGAGGAACCCTTCTATGTGGCCACGGATTGGAGTAAATGGCACAAATGCCGTGATCGCTGATTTGAAGTGAAGACAAAAAGTAAATATATACCAAGGAGGCAATAATGTTGATTGATTGATGACTTGGTGTCATCGTGATGTGGCGTTGTAAAATTCGGTAAGAATCGTTGTGAAGCGGTGTGCACCGTTTTCCGATTTGGGCTGCTACACATGCCCTGCCCGAAACAGAAAGCCAGGAAATTGACACACATGCTATTTGCTACGGCACGTCGCCGTTGCTCCTTGCTCCCTCGAGGCCAACACCTGGAAATGGTGTGAGCGGCTACAGTAGCGAGGATTAGTTTTGTAAGGTAGAAAACTCTTTCGTGGCGCCCGAAGGCCCAAGAGCACCGTTGGGAGAACAGTGCACGTTCAAGCGGCGGCAAATGTCGTACCACCGTCGAATCAGTGCTCAACCTACGCCATTTTTTCGAGGAACAGTCGATTGGTGTGTTTATTCAAGATTCACAGCTAATGGTTTAGGGCGATCGATCCTGGAGAGCCAAACTGTCGCTGCTCACCAATTGGGCCCGTTGTTGGTGCTTCTTTTTTTGTTTTCCGATACTCGCCCCCTTAGAAACATTCCAAGGCCAATCATGAATTTTCGTCTTCCCGCGTACGCGATCGTATGTGGTACGAGGAAAAATTAAGCAATAGAAAACGACCACAAAGTGGTTGGCTCGGCAACGGTACCATTCACATCCCAAACAATGTTGATTTTTTTTTTTCCAAACGACAGCTGACGAGTGTCCAGCGGCGTGGAGGTCTTGGTTGCCTGGTCGAAGTAACCTTGTGCATCTTACCCTCATAATCCTCGGGTTGTCATCAAAGCTCTAGGGAGAATTATCATTCGTTCTCGGTGTTGATGACATCACGAGATCGATCTATGAACTGGCTTCCACGAACCGTCTGCAAACTGGTTCGGTAGTTGGCAGTGAAGATGGCAACGGATATGAGGCTCGCAAATCAACTCTTCCATGTTAACGTTCGGGGATACTTTTCGCCTATGAACTCCTCCGACAACACTGGCCATGGCCGCCACTACCAGCAGCGGCTCGCGTTATCGCAACGACACAGTCCACGACGACTCAGTTTGTCTTTCAACAATTTTTTTTCGTCGTCCTTTTATTTTATTTTTCCGGCAGGGCGGGACGAGCGCGGAAACGGGCGGGACCTCCTCGATGGAATCCGAAAAGAAAGCGCTTCTGACCGCCTTGCTGCAGCACCCCTGCCTCCCGCAACTGCAAGAATGCGCGAGCATGCTCAACACACGGTACAAGACCTACTCGGAGTACGCACGGGGCGCCTCGTCAGCAGAGTGGCAAATGATTCCCTACGTCGAGGTACGATACCTTACCTTGCGCCCTTTTTAGTCGGCTACCGTTGGTGTATAAGGAGAGTTTGATCGCCGCAATCTTCGTGGGAGGCTCTGGGCGGTCAAAAGGCCAAGAAAATATGCCTTTGTGCGTCTGTAGACCGTTGTGGCATGTTTTCTTCTCTTGGAAGTATGCTCCCCGTTTAGTAGTAGTGTGCCTTTGAAGGTGGGGGGGCTTACTGTCATGTTTCACATGCCTCATCTGTTAGACCATTGACCCCTGAAGATGAGGATGGGAAGCCGATTACGAGTTTTCCCCTCGTTTTCGGTCGCGGTCATGTCGAAGCTCGGGGCTCCCTTGTGCATCCTACTCGCCGCGTGACCGTTATGGGTGTCCGGCGCAGGATCGGTCGAAATAAATATCCCTCTTTCCCGTTGAAGCATGCTCAACAAGCATGAAGTATGCACTTGAAGAAGTTATAGATGCACCCTCCTATGGACCTTTTTGCTGAAAGCGGGCCATCCTGATATACATTGCGTCCCCAACACAAAAAATATACTTCCATTGTACACTAAATGAAGCAAGACACACCCAACTAATAAACTATTGACCACATGGTTTGTTGCCCTCTCCCGATTTCGTAACGTAGCAAAAGGAACACCAACAACGGAAAAAGGCCGTCAAGGATGTCTTGGAAATTTCGCAAGGAACTTCTGAGGAAGGTTATTATCGTCTATAGTACCGTAGGTTGGGACCGATGTGATTGGCTAGATTTCTCCGCGACGGCGAGGATGCTACTGTAACTAATGATGCACTCGCGCAAAGCTCTTGGCGAGACGGTTCCAACGCCGCATTTTTCGGCGCCGTCACTGCTGTTCTTGGTGCAAAGTAATCGAGCTTTGAAGCTCCGCCCAGTAGGTGTGATATCTTACGCAACCTACGGTATGCCGTGCATGGCATTGAACATTTCCACGTGGTCGAGGTGTGTCCCGGGGGTTTCAGACCGATCGCCCACGCATTCGAAACGCAGCCGTTTTAACGACTCCCTGTGTCGCCCATCGTGGTAAGCTTTTAGAGTTTTACCTCTTGCTCTCTCAAGTTCTTCTTGTCGCACATGCTTGTTGCGCTTTTGCCCTCGTCATGTACTTCCAACAGACCGTCCTTGAAGAGCTGGTCCTGGAAAACTTCGAAGCGGATAAGCCAGCGAGTTGGACCCGAGCAAACCAGCTCCTTCAGGTCAGAAACTATTGCAGCATTGTAGCGCTCCCGCCGGACAACATTTTTTTTAGTTTTGCTTTTTGTATTGCCTTCGGGCGGGCGGGGATATCAAGGCATCCAGTGAACCTCAAGGAAAGAGCCTTTCCGGCGTGGCTATTGTACGGGCGGGTTTAAGGAAAAGTGAGGTGCAAGTGAGTTCAGAGCGAGACGTAGGCCAGGCCGTACACCAGTGCTTGCCAGGCCGTACACCAGTGCTTGGACACTCCGGAAACCTGTGCGCCGTCCTTGCTTGTTCTGTGTCTCTCTTACAAGCATCGACCTCGCTAACCGTCTGAAAGACGTCAGTCTCAGTGCGTTTGAAAACATAACATGCTTCTAACGGGGATGACCTAGGGCCCCGTGTTCCGTGTATTTGTGTGTGTGTGTGTTTTTTTTTTTTTTTTCTATTAACATCGACCGCGCTAACCGGCGGACCGTTGAAAAGGCGTAAGTCTCAGAGCGGGGTTTTGTGTGTGCGTGCCTTGCAGGTGTACCGACGTAACCTGAAGGAGTTCATGGACGTCCTCCTCAAGAGGGGGCGCTTCAAGGACAGCGACGATACGAAAGACAAGGACGGCGTCTCTGAGTGGGCGCCTCGCCAGTTCCTCTGTCCCATCACGCAGGTCAGCACCGTGGTCGCACGAGTCAACGTTTTTGTCTTCATATCGGCTATCACGGTAGGGTTATTGTTGTGGCTATACCAAGGCAGCTTTTTTTTTTATGTCTATGGTTGATTTGTGCACGGCCGAGAGAAAACGAAGGGTCAGCAACAGCATCAAAGTTGAATACATGTACGTGTGTACGCGTAGCCAGCCGCAGTCGAAGACAAAACGCCGAGGCAGCGTGCCGCCTCGGGGCCGACTGGCTCGAGGTTTTCGAAAGGGAGTTTGACGAGCAAGGTTAAGACATTCAGTCTGGTCTTCCTTGCAGCGGCGAGTTTTGTCCGTGGGGACAGCTTTTTGTCTCCAGAAAAAAGTGGGGATAGCTTTTTGTCTCCAGAAAAAAAGTGGGGATAGCTTTTTGTCTCCAGAAAAAAAGTGGGGACAGCTTTTCGTCTCCAGAAAAAAGCTTCTCCCTCGGACAAAACTCGGCCCTGCAAGGGACACCAAACTTAACGTCTCAACCTTGCTAGTCAAACTCCCTGTCAGCGAGTTCTGAAAACAAAGGTGGATGTCGTCCCTGGTCTCCACTTACAGGCCGCCTTCGCGACGGTATTTATAATTATCTATAATTTAGGCTGTACATACAGAGCGACGACGATGTGCTGGGCGAACTTGCACGGGTCGGACAAAGCACTCGTGGATGATAGAACAATAGGGAGGAAGGTTTCAGAACCTTAAAAATTTAACCTACAACCCTAACCCCTAACCCACCGGCAACCACTTCTATCTCCAAGACTAACATCCTCGCGAAGGCTATTATAGTGCCACTTAATGCTCTGCAACGCCCTCCCCTTTCCCCTGTTTTTTGTTTTTCTTCCTGTTTTTTAGGGGTTGATGATGGACCCCGTCGTCGCCCAAGACGGCCACAGGTAAGGCACACACTAAACGTGTCACGTCAAATCCACCACGAAGAGGTAGTTCCACGGTTATTGTTTTGCGGGTTTGAACAGCAGGCGCTACCTTTCCTCCATATGGGCTGACGAAAACATTCACGTTGACGATGAACTTTGCATAGCTTTCACGCATGTGGCGTCCAAGGAGCCCTTTTCCAAGAGTACTACATACCCGCTTGTGGCTTGATTCGTGCTTGCTTGTGATCTACTGAGCCCCCCCCCCCCCCCCCCCCCCCAGTACAGTGGGGAAACTGTTTGGCAAGATGATAGACAATAGAATGGGAGACATGTTGGAGGGGAAACAAAAGATCAGCGAAGGACAAGCTGGATTTAGACCAGATCGTAGTTGTGTAGACCATGTATATACGTTGAGTAAAATCATCCAAGGTAGGAAAGACGCCGGGCGTACGACATACTGTTTCTTCCTCGATATACAAAAAGCCTACGACACCGTATGGCGCAATGGATTGTGGAAAAAGATGTGGGACATCGGCATCCGGGGGAAAATGTGGAGGATGTTGAAAAAGATGACAGAATGCACAAGAAGTGCGGTGATGTTGGATGGGGAAATTTCCAGGGTTACTCACGGAGTAGAACCGCTCCGCGGAGCGGTTTTTTTTTTTTTTTTAGTTCCACGGAGCGGTGCGGAGCGGTTTATCCGAGGGCAATAGTCTCACGGAGCGGAGTGGTTTTTTTTCTGATGTCACGGAGCGGTGTGGAGCGGTTAATCCGTAGTGCGGTTATTTTCACGGAGCGGTTTTGTATACTCCGTAGCATAAACCGAGCAAAACCGTGTCCTTGAGGACCGTTATCCGTAAGAAAAAAACGTCAAAACCGCACGGATATCCGTACAAATCGACGGAGTACCTGCAATTTATTCAAAAACGTCGGGTTTCGTACACCGGAAACCGACTTTTCCACACGGTGTGCTGTGTTTGGAGGCCGCCGGTGACACCGTATGCGTCCTCGTCGCTAGGACAGCCCAAACAGACCAAAAAGCTGTCAACTAATCAATTATTCAGAAAGGAACCGTTCCCCACATCGATACCTCCTCGACTCCTACGTTCCTGCAACACGTACAACAGCAGACAAATCCTCACTTGCCTCTCGTTGAAACTTGCCAGTACTAATACCTCCCGACTCATACGTTCCTGCAACACGTACAACAGCAGGTAATTCCTCATATGCCTCTCGTTGAAACTTGCCAGTACTAGCACATGGGTATCACCAGGCGTCTTGTGTATTCATCCAAAAACATACGCCGCTATGTCGCTCAGTCAGATTCGACCTCGACAACCACCTGCTTTCCCGCACAAGCGGCTTGGACAGATGCAGCTTTAGCCTTCCCAACAGACTGCGCTGCAAGCAGCTTCCTCAACTCATTGTCCAACTTCATGATCTCGGGAATAAGATGGGGGTTAGACCGGAGGAACATCACCATCTCGACACGGTCGGGCATCATCGCCTGCCGAAGGTTGTTGTACACGAATCCCAGCCCCGAAAAGTCCCTCTCTGATTGGCAACTAGTTAGTGCTGTCAATGCAAAGGTACACGCGAGCAAGCATGGACAAGATGGGGCACATTGGCCACGAGCAGCAGCAGCCGTTTAGCGTATGCTTTGCCTCTCTCCTGCTTCGCTTTTGCAGATTTGTTGCTCGCTTTCATCGCCAACTCGTACTGTGGAACATGCTTCGTCCGCAGATGGTCTAGCAGCGGATGCGCGCCGTTCTTGGCCACGTGCTTGTACATCCGGCCGCATTCCTTGCCGTCTTCATCGGCAACGATGCATCGCGTGTTCTTCCCGTTGTCCAACGGCTTGTTGAGCTTCTGGAAAAACGTCCAAACTCCCGACAAATCCCCGTGTGGTACGGTCTCTGCAACGTTGATGACGGTGCGTTTGACGCTACGCACCATGCTCAGGCGGGATTCCCCAGGTTGCGCCGCTGCTGATGCAGCAGCAGCGCCAGCAGAACCTCCGGCACCAGCACTAGCACCAGCACCAGCACCACCAGGAGAGCGGTCGCCAGAAGGGCGGTCGCCAGGGTCGGATGTCGACTCCATCAGAGATAGGCAGACGTGCACACGAACTGATGTGCACGGAGTGTGTGTGGTTCGTGTGCACGGAGTGTGTGTCTGTGTGGCTGCTGTGAAAGTAGAACAGAAAAAAATGGAAAAATATCGTGACTCCGTAGGAAAAAAAACGTTACTCCGTGGTAAAACCGCGGCTGTATTGCGGTTTTATCCGTGCTTGTGTGACGGAGTAGGGCAAACCGCTCCGTGAAAAAACCGCTTGTACGGATTGTTGGGGAGCCCCACGGAGCGGAGCGGAGCGGTTTATCCGAGCGCAGATTTCTCACGGAGCGGAGCGGTTTTTTTGTTCATGTCACGGAGCGGAGCGGTTTTTTCTCAAGGGAAAACCTCACGGAGCGGTGCGGAGCGGTTTAAACCGCTCCGCTCCGCTCCACTCCGTGCAAAAAAAACGCTCCGTGAGTAACCCTGGAAATTTCGAAGTACGTGGATATACTCCAAGGAGTCGCACAGGGCTGTACGATGTCACCCACTCTTTTTAAGATTTACATCAACGATTTGATAAGGGCGGTTGAAGCAGTAACACAGGGAGTCCAAGTAGAGGGAAAGAGTGTGTCCGGACTGATGTTTGCAGATGATTTCGTGGGGGTATCCGAAACACCAGAAGGGTTGCAAGAACAAATAGATGCGGCGGTAGGATACACCCGAAAATGGAGACTGTCGGCGAACGTAGGAAAATGCGCAGTAGTGGTCTGTAACGAAGATAAGAAAAATCCCGTAGAATTCAAATGGAAATGGGGGGAGGAAGAACTACCGGTAGTAGACAAATATACGTACCTGGGAGTAGAGATTTCGAAGGAGTGCTCATGGGACGCACACATAGCGAAGTTGATTGGGAAGGGTAAAGCTCAGATAGGCAAGATGGACGAGATCCTTACGGACCCACACCTAGACACTAGGATTAAGAGGTGCATTCTCTTGAAGGTGATTGTTCCTAAGCTAGAGTATGCAGGAGAGGTATGGGAAGGTAACGAAAAGGCCGTCAAGCGGCTGGAAACGGTGCAGATGGCAGCGGCCAAGAAAATACTAGGATGTTCAAGTACAACGAGCAACACTGTATTGAGAGCAGAATTGGGAATGTACTCTCTTAAAACAAAGAGAGACATGCAGAAGTTGAATTGGCAGTACAAGGTAAGTAGAATGTCGGACGATAGACTAACAGCCATGGTTGACGAGGCAGCTTGGGGAAAAGCGACTCCAGGGAAGAAGGGAACCAGATGGGACAAGGTGGTAGAGAAGGTTTGGAAGGAGATAGGAGACGAGGAGGAGACGTTGGACACGGAAGGGTTCGGGGGGTTCAAGACGAAAGTCAAGGAGATGCTAGAGAGTAGGGAGGAGGCAACCCTTCGGAAGAAGGTATGAAGCGAAGACCACTTGGAGATATACGGGAAGTTGAAAGAAGGGATAGGGATGAAGAAGTACTTGGACGGCCCCATGGACTATGCGAAAAAGCTGAAATTGCAATTTCGAGTAGGCGATCTGGACTTGCCAGAACGGAGGAAGAGGTATACCAGCCGTAGGAGAGAGGAAGAGGAGGATAGACACACATGTCCATGTGGCAAATCGGAGGAGAGTAGACCCCACATAGTTGGGGAGTGTGAGTTGTACAGGAAGGAAAGAGAGGATCTCGAGGAGGAAATGAGACAGAGAGGGTGTGACATGGACAAGTTTGGTAAATTAGACAACAGCGAAAAAACGATCGCGATAATTGGGGATAGATGGTGGGCACAAGAGGCCCTAGAAGACGGGGATAAGATGTGC